TGGGATCTTGATCCCTTTTATTAGGGATCTAGATTCCTATTGTTAGGGATCTTGATCTCAACCTTAAAATCAAGACAATGACTAAATTGATGATTTTCTTTATTTATAGCCAACTAGCAACACAACTATACTTTTACTATAGTTGCATTGCTTGCTTGCTATAAATTAGGAGATCCCTACTTTAAAGAGAAAATATAATCCTAGATAATCATACACTTCAAGGTTGGGAATATGATCTCCGAAAAGTTCAAGCCTTTTACTTAAATTGTTGTTATGTACGTAATCTTAGTTTTGCTAACTCTGGTTCATTTTAAAGGTTCTTTACTTGGAAGCAATATTGTATAGCCTTTCATATGTGAGTCATTTGCTTACAATATATTTTCAATGCTATGACCTTTGCTGATTATGTAAGCTTCTGAACAAGAGGATAAGATCTCTCTTTGTTTGGTTACGTATATTTATCTTATTCATGCTTATAATGTTTTTTAGGTATTTATCCTATTCATGATTAAAAATAATGCCTTACATACACTATTTTCTTAGTTGTGTCTTGATTGAAAATAATACGATTTAACATTGGATGCATTGCTTTGTTTTTACTCCATTGTATGAGACCGTTCTCAATAATAAATTTGGAGTCGAGATCCTTTTATTTGTGTGTGCATGCAATTGCTTACATGTTTGTGTATATATTTTTGTGTACACGCACACAAAATCAAAATTGAGTATGCGGTCCCACTTTTGTGTGTGGGTGGTTGGGATTCTTTTTTTTTTTTTTTTTTTTCGGGGGGTATCATTATTGCTTATGGTGATTGTTTTTCTTTGCTTGTAAACATCCTATATGGGGGTACTTGTCATTTCTACATGTGGATTTGGAACATGGGTCGTATATCACCTTATAAGAAATGTTATTTACTTCTTACTAACACAAAATGGTGATTCTCTTTCAAGCTCTTTGAATATGATGGAAATCAAGAGCTGGGTGATTCAAAAATTAAATTTTATTTTATTTTTTAATTTCATGGATGTTGATGTTTTATTTTTTCAAGGATTATAATGTTGGGTTAGTCGCTAATACTTAGTTTCTAATTTTTTTAATTCTCTTTTACTATTCATTGATGGGCTATTCATGGGTTTCATAGACACGATTCACTGGTATTGTCCATTGGTTACTGTTCACAAGGGTATTTCTGAAATTTTAGTATTATTTAGAGGTATTTTAGAGTCTTAAATTGTTTACTTGGATCTCAAGTTAATTTTAGGGTTTCATAGGCTTATAATAGGTGGGACGTCATACTATGGGATATTTATATTATTGGAGTAAATTAATTTTTTGAGGGAAAAAAGTTCTTCCCTTAGCTTGATTTATAGCTATACTTTTTCTTCATTATTGCTGATTTTTATTGGTTTGAGGCTCTGAAAAAGATAGATTTAATTTCCTACCTTTGCTCCTGCATCAAGTGGTATCAGAGCACCGTTCAAAAGGCGATTAGAGATTGAGATGGCTAGTTGTGGAGGTCTTAATCATAGGGATGCTGATCTGATTCGATTGTGCAAGGAAATGCATAACTTGACGGAGAGAGCTAGATAGTTGTTGTGCAAGCGAAATCAACAACAACATGCCTTAAACAAAGAAGATTCTACAAGGATATATCCAAATCATGAGGATTTTCATGGAGATTGACACGAATCATACTCTGGTTTGAGTGGAATGGATTGATGATTTATCATGTTGTTGGGTTTGATGGTGATGGCATCGACCAAAGCATAATTTTGAAGGAGTACAACAAGGATCCGATCTTCAATTGGATTCAAAATTCTTTGAATTAGTGAATGATCTTATCTTTGATATCGATCCTATGTTGATAAAGAACCAGGTAATTCTATAGTTGATGGTGGTTCTATTTGTAAGGAACTATTGAATGGAAATGAAGAACCTGGAGTTCCCACCTGATGTAGGGAAATTTGAGGGAACAATAAAATCAGCAAGGAACAAGCCAAACACAAGCACAAGTCGAATAAACCTATGGTTTCTTCTCCATGGTCAAGAAAGCCTAAGCTTTTTCTCTCTTTCAATTACTAAAAATCATGTGGAATATGACCCCCTAAAGGCTGCACACACCTCTTATATATTATAATTTAATGTTCCAAGGACAAAAAGCATCCAAACAAATAACACATTGACCCATATATCCTAACTTAACTTAAAATTCGTGATGACAGTTTTACCCTTTGCGAATAGTACCCATGATAGTAATTGTGAATACTATTCATGAAGTAACTAAAAAAAATAACTAGCTTTTGAGGACCGGCACAGCCAAATCTTCTATTTGCTAGGCAACTAAGGCAAAGGCGATATATGTGTCTGGAACCTTGGTAATAGACGAATGGTCTATCCTACCCCTCGAGTCATTTGACAGATAGAAAACCAAGACAAGAACAAGCATACCAACTCTAAAACGAAAACTATAATATCATTCAAAATTGAATAAAAATAAAAAATAAGAATAATTTTGTCCTCCATCATTCTCCCCTGGTTTGAGAATACTCATTCTTGAGTTTTGAAATGTGCTAAGATGAATTCAACATCAAAACCATCTTCTTTAACCTTTTTCTTTGTCGGCTCAAGTATTATTCTAGGTAAAAAGAATTCCTCAAGAAACAAATCCTAATATGTATATTAAAGAATCAATGCAAATTTATCGAATACAGCTATCCTTGGACTCCCACAGAAAATCATGTAGTAAACTTCAAACCACACGCGAAGCACGAAAGTGAAAAGGCTTTACTCAAGATCCTCTTGGGCTGAAAGATCACCATCTTGCCCATTATTGAGGCTCACGAATTGCTGCATCAGCTGCTGAACTTGTCTCTCAAGTTCCTCAATTCTCTAATATCTGAGATCATGGAGCGAATCTATGAACCCCCCTTGCACGACCCCTTCTTGCCGCCATGGGATCACCAAAATCACAAACCCTAGGCATATGATCAACAAAACCTACTAAAATCAGAAAGATCTAGGATTGTTGTTGATGTAAGGAACAAAAATCGACGCTACAATACCGTGCTATAGTAAAATTTTATCTAAGGAAATTTGAGGGAATAGTAAAATTAGCAAGGAACAAGCCAAACACAAGCACAAGTCAAAGAAACTTAGGTCTCTTCTCTATACCCCAAGCTAAGAAAGGAACAAAAATTGACGCTACAATATCGTGCTACAGTAAAATTTGATCTAAGGAAATTTGATGGAATAGTAAAATTAGCAAGGAACAAGCCAAACACAAGCACAAGTAGAAGAAACCTAGGGTCTCTTCTCTATACCCCAAGCTAGGGTTCCAAAAGCCTAATCTTCTCTTTTTCAATTTCTAAAAATCATGTAGATGACTCGCTCAAGGCCCCACATATCTCTAACATATTATAATTTAATATTCCAAGTACAAAAAGTGTTTAAACAAACTACACATTGACCCACCATGTATCCTAACTAAACTTAAAATTTGTAATGACAACTTCACCCTTGTGAGTAGTACCCATGAATAGTACTTGTGAACAATAATTGTAAATAGTACTCATGAAGTAAATAAAAACCCTAAAATCCCTAAACAACAAAAAAACCCTAGAATTAACACTATAATATACATCATTCGAATTAAATAAAAGTAGAAAATAAGAATAATTGTGTCCTCCATCACTACCTATGATGAAGAACAAGTTGCAGGCGATGGTGATGGTTGTTGTGATGATGGTTATTATTGCGATAATGGTAGTGGTGAAGAGGCAAAAGGGGAGGCAACTTGAGGCACCGATTGTGAAGAGCTCTTTTCTCTCACCAATGGCGGGGCTGACCTTTCCTATTTCCATTTAGAGGTTTCCATCCCACAAAGGCGGGCTACTATAGCTAGGTACACCAAAATCATCATCGACTTGTTTAAGGATATTTTGAGGATACCAGTCCTATAGCCCATAGGTCTCATGATCAAGCTCCGATGTCAATGCGTAATATTCAGGTTGGGAGAGACATGTTTAGAGGATGATTTGTATTAAACCATTTCAAAACTCGAGGGCAAGTTTTCTCCAACCAAGGGAGAATGATGGATATCAAGAGCTAGTTGATTTAAAAATTTTATTTTATTTTTTATTTCATAGATGTGGTTGTACATTTTATTTTTTATTAGGATAAACTTTTTTTAGGCATTATAATGTAGGGTTAATCTCCAACACTTGGTTTCTTTTTTTTTTTGTTAACTATTCACTGGTTAGTATTCATGGTATTGTTCACAGATACTATTCATGTGTTATTATTTACGGCTACTTTTGTGGTTTACTGTTCATAAAGATATTTATGGAATGTTGGTATTATTTAAAGGTATTTTAGAGTCTTAAATTGTTTATTTGGATCTCAAGTTAAGTTTAGGGTGCCATAGGCTTATAAAAGGTGAACTTTATATTATGGGATGCTTATATTAATTGGAATGAATTTGAGTATATGAAAAAAGCAAGTTTCTTCTTCTTTGGCTTGATTTACAAAATGTTATTCTCCATTATTGCTGATTTTTATTTGTATGAGGTACGGGAAAAGGTGGATTTAATTTCCCACCTTTCCTTCTTCAAAATATGACACTCTAATTATATTCTTGGAAGATTTAGGGGTTTAAATTCTTTTCGTTGTCGTTTGTACTCTGAAGATTTTGAATTTGTGTCATTTGGATCAAGAACATTGACAAATATGGTTTCATAGTAGTGTATAATTTTGCAAGTAGCATGGGCTGTAGAAAAAGTTCATATATGCCGAATTTGCTGATAACATCATTTGCTTATGCCATTTTTGACCTCATTGGTGATTTGGTTTGATCTCCATTTATGATGCCTTTCCTTTCAAATCAGAATGTTCTTTAAAAGTTTTTTCATCTTGAAATGTCCTTTTAGTATTCATAGTTGTGTAAATTTAAACTTGTAATGTATGAGTGAGACTAATTCCCTAGGATCTTTCTTTATGTTAGGTACTGATTATGAAAGTTGGTGAAACGTTAACACTGATGACACTTGGTCTTCGGCTCTTGGCATATGGCTTGCAGCATGACAGCCTCTGAATTTCAGCTTACCTGCCCGAAAAGGAAAAAGAGGGAGAAACCATGAAGATACATTTTATAACATGGTGAAATGGTAATTCTAAATAGTAAGTACCACCCACCGGTTTCTCTATGTTCTTGTTATCCCCTCTATTTGCCAACATATTTTATAACCTGTTGGGCTACCTTTACTCTTTAAAATCTAACTATTGAAATTGTATGGCATGTATAAAAACATTCGGTAATCGATTCTATCCTCGTTGATACAATGGGAGGTTTGCTATCTCCATATTATATCCATTGACTGGAATAAAGTCTTGCAACAATCACTTTTTCTACTTTCTTTCTGGTCTATGATGCCTTGTTAAGAAACTTCTGTCATTTCACTATTTGGATGATTCCTATTTATTTTTCCTATCATGAAATGTTGTATTGATTTTGCGACTTAAGCACGAAGTGTAGTGATAGTGTAATGGATGGTCCTTCGGGCAACGTGGAGTGTTATAATTCGTCTCTTGCACTCATAAGCATTATTAGGATTTCAAGTTATGATGAAAAGAAAGGAAATGAATCTAATACATCAAGGATGATGACAGGACTCTTGATTAGAGCATTGAAAGATTGATCTTAGGACTCCGTAATCTCCTTGAGAATAATAGCTGCTATTGTGACATGTTTCTATTCATATATTAGGTTATTAGAGTTTTTCTACTTACTGTTCCTTCTTATTTGACATTCCTGCCCTTGGGAGTTCAGTCCATATTGTGTTCTAAATCTATTCTTAGCGGTTAGCACAAGTCAAATCATTATTCTTGAATAAAACAAGATCCAAGAATGTTAGGGATAGGACTTAGTTGGGGGGAACTCAAACTTTTGAACCACGTTTTGACATTACCCCTTGGCAATCTGCTGCCCTCAACTTCTATAAGTGGCTACCTAGGCAACTCTCTTAAGGAATTTTTACTCCTCAATTCTTGGAAACTTGTTCTTCTTCCATTTGGGAACATAGTCCTTTATATTTAAAATAATTAATCTTTTTAGTATAAGGATACATGAATAAGGCATTCCACTTTAGAAAGAGGGATATTGGCACCTTCTCCTCTATGGGGAGAGTGGGAGACTATAGTCCCTGTTCTCCGGAAAGGGGATTGAAGGACTTGCCACAGCATGGGATGAGGCAGGAGTTCCATCCATAAGGAATTGCTAACCCCGATATTCCCCCTTCTATAGAGAGAAGGAGCATTCCTCTCATGGGGATATGGGGTTTGCCACCCCTATGCCTAATGTATATATTATGAAGTTTGTGGTGGAAAGCCAGTCACCTTCCATCTCCATAATAAACAATGATGGAGAGCTGGCAGCTATTTAGTTTCATTGAAAATGAATAAAAACTGAGAATAGAAGGTAAAAGTATGTCATATGTTCATCATCATCATTATCATCTGAGCCTTATCCCAACTATTTCGGTTCAGCTACGCAAATTTTGTTTTGGTATTTTGCTCTATCAAGGGCCAGACCTGCAATCAGATTTGATATGTTCATAATAATATTTTTATATGATGCCCATCTCCTTTAGGTCGGGATTTGCCGCTGAAGTGGATAACTCTAGAGATTAAATGTGAGAAGAAAAGTGAAATAATTTTCATAACTATATGCTAGAACATAATTTTCAGAACTATATTCTAGAAATTAAATGCAAGAAAAGTAATTTTCTCTGGAGTTGATATATACTTTTTTGTATTCTCATGTTGGTCTCCAATGCTCGTTTTCTATGACAATCAGTGGAATGATCCTTCCAATGTGCGAACCATTTTCAATGGTAGAGATGAATGGTTCAATAATCTATCATTGAGAATATGTTGGTGACCATATAGAATATGCAAGTAGCATAGACAATCTAAATCAAGTATACAAGAAAATCGACAACTTGGCGGAGATGGTTGAAAAGTTGTTTCAAAATGAACGATGACAATGGTATACATCAAATAAGATGATATGTACGGTGTTAGATCCATATTGTGCGAGTTTTTGTGAAGATTTCGTAAATCAGAGCACGAGTTTGAGTGGGAACGGTTTGATGTTATGCTTGGTCTCACTTATGGGTTTGATGCACGACGACATCAACAGGAACATGAATGCAGGGAAAAGTTGGATAAATGACTACCCCAAAGCCCATGTGATTGGCGTAGGGAAGTAAACCGAAGTAAGTGCAGAGATGACTAGAGAGAATTTTATGACATACATATCCATCCCTAGAGCAGAATCATCCCAGGCTAAGAGACACCTTCAGCCCAGAGAGTTGTTATTCTTACAACAAAACTACAACATGAGCATCACAGGAGTATGCAAAAAGAGGTATGTAATTTCTTGACCAAAGAAAACCCCAGATTTGTCACTGGAGAGGTTGATAGATTGAAAGATACATAAAGCCAAATCTAATGAGAAAGGGTAGATGTATAGTGGTAGATGTATTTTTAGATCAATCTGCTGAAAAAGGAGACATAGTTTGGATGTCTGAAAGAATGTTGAATTTGGAAGTGCTTCACTCTTAGTGAATAGGGAAGAGCAACCTGCAACTATAGCTAAAGGGGATTTGGGATTCGATGAGAAAACAAGGGTAGTGATTTTTTATCATGTGTTGCTGGTCAGGCTATAGTTATCGAGAACGGGAATGTGAGAAGTTCCAGGAATAGAAACGGGAGCGCAGAGCGAGTCTAGCTCAAAGTTCCTTGGGCGGCGGAGTGAGCTCCATACTTGGCCTGGGGATGGGAGAGAGTTCCATGACTTCTAGGGAGTGCATTGCTATCTGAACAAGAGCAGTTCCCTACCAAAAGGGATCGCGTTGTGCCGTTCTTAAGATCGGGTTTCTGGAGTTCACTGTTTTTGTATATTGTAAACTAGGAGCAAGTTTCGTTAGATAGCATGTTTAACTCTTTCCAAATCCACAGTTCCAAGGTATCAATGTAATAAGAAAACATGGCATTGAGATTGCCTTTGAATTTTTTATGTCATTGGAGCATGATTTCATACTGAATTTAGCAAACAACAGTATTGGGGTGCATTGGAGCATGATTTCATGCCAAATTCAGTGACAAACCTTCTGGTGATGCATTGGAACATGATTTCACACCAAATTCATTTAACAACATTATTGTAGTATAGAATGCACAACTACACCTTAATTATACAATACCCTTCTCTAAACTGGCACTTGATGCTAACAAGATTTACCCTTCCCAAGTCCATACTATTGACATTCAAGGACGGGCTGGATTTCCCATTTCGACTAAGTTTGTAATTGACGATTAAGCACATGTATTGTGCTTTTGCAAGAGCATATTGTGCATTACTCCCTCATTCAAAAGACTCAAAATACTACACTAGACTCATTGCAAAATGTGCATGTAGGAAATTTGTGGAAAACCGAATACTATATACAAATAAAATATTTGTAGGTGTAGCTCGCTCCCATGGCATAGGATACTCAGTTCTTGGTATGATGGAATCATGGTTCCGAATGATATTGGAGCCATGATCTTGGGCATTCAGATCTGGATCCCACTTGCTAGGGAACTCGTTCCTGAATAATAGGAATCAAGTTCTCATAAATCCGGGTACAAGATCCAAATACACAAGGAATCGTCTGGAATCGAGATCCAATCACTCAAAGTGCAGGATGGAGATTCCCAGGGGGGGAAGAAGTATGACTCTACTTTCAATTCGACAAGTTTTTGAGGAAGAAGTTGATAATATTCAGACTGTTGTTGATGTTGTGGTTAATGGTGATGTTAGTGGTAATGATGATGCATGCACATTGTAGTTTAGTGGAGGTGTTGGGAATGGCGGTATGAACATGGAAACTTCTGGTTGGTTGTCTGCTTCGAGAAAGCCTAATCATGACATGTGGAATGTTTGTGATGTTGGTTTGGTCGTTTATTTGAACCACTTCATAATTGGTGTGGTAACTTTGAAGTGTGGGTGCAACAACATCATGTTGTGTGGGAACTAGTGGTTACTATTACTGATTTGATATGTTTTAAACATAGGAGGACGACAATTTGCTTCAGGAATGTATTGATGATGAACACTGCCATCCCTGGTGTGTTGAGTGGAGGCAAATTTGTTTACATTGGTACTAGTGGCAATCTACTTACTCGTTCTCACCTAAGTTACGTTATCAACTCGCTTCCTATTTCTTTGCAATCAAGATGAGAGATCAAATGGGAATGGTGATGGTAGCACCCCCTATACCTCAGTTGCACGTTGTGGCTTTCATTTCCATCGACACCTTTAGAAACCACTAACCATTTCAAAAATGGGTAGGGGCCTGTATTCCCCACTGAATTACCCACAAAAAAAAAGAAAAAAAAGAAGATGAGCAATCAACTGGACACTAAACTTGTGTTTTCCTGTGATTATTGGAAAGAGTTTAATTTGGTCCTTGTCGTCCCTCCTTCCAATCCTTGTGGTGGAAAATTTAGTACTGTTGGTCACAATCGGTTTTATTCTATTGTGTTGCTACACTACTAGCCTGGCTCAATTAATACTTTCTATTGGAGGGTACACATAATGTTAAGCTCGATTAAAGTTGGCTACTAATATGGATTAATATGCAATCAAATTTAGATCAAGATCACACTTTAAACCTCACTTGAATATTTAGTTGAACATTTCACAAGTATATATCTTCAAGCACATAATAAACATAAGCATGTATCTACAATAAGTGTTACTCAAATCATCAACTTATATCCTCAATCTGTTATCATCGATTTCATACTTTATTTTAGTCAAGAATTATAACAAGATGAGCATATATAAAGCATAAAAGGAACTCAGCACAGTGCTCAAGTCAGGGCTTGTAGAGAACAAGTATATCTACCTTCGAGCATCATAAGCAATCCTAACCTTGTTGAAAATCTGAATCAAGAAGATATTAGGAGCTTTGTGGTTAGGTGCCTCGATCTCTCCTCCGGGTCGGGATGACCTGTTGGCATGGCTCCGGGTTCGAGATGGACCTGAAACCTGAGATTGCTTTCTCGAAAACCGTGTAAAGGAGATGCGGACAGGAATACCAACCAGTGAGAGAGGAATTTAGGTCGTGAGG